TGTGGCACAGAGCTTTCTGAAACCCCAGGAGAAGGTCAAGGTCACTTGCCATTCCCACATCAGAAAGCTTTATCAACCTGCTCCAAAGTAGGCTGCAAAGGAGATGGACAGTGGCCTTTCCCCAGTGCCTCATCAGGGAATTTGCTGTCCACCTGCTCCCACTCCTTGAGGCACTGTCAACCTCTTGGATATGCCGACCGCCATATATGAACTCCAAAGAGCCAGCAAAGAATAATGACACATTTACAGGGTTTCGGAGGTCTGTTCAAATGTGTACAAACAAACCATGTGCTCAGGGGATTTGCAATTTAAATGGAAAAATAAATGCCAGAAAATAGCTGAAATTTGTGTAAAATAAAAATCATGAGAGGAGTTACCTTATCAGATATCAGAACATAATATGAAACCATTATAATGAAATTCAATTATTCATTTATCTAACTGGTATTTAATTGATCTCCAGATGTGAGCTAAACCCTGTTCTAGTTACTGGAGATAAAATAGTGAACAAAACAGACTAAACGTGCAGGAGTAGAGAATAAGCTAAAGAAAAATAAGTTAGGGGCACCTGAGTGGCTCAGTCGGTGAAATGTCTGCCTTCGGCTCAGGTCGTGATCCCAGGGTCCTGGGATCGAGCCCCACATTGGGCTCCTTGCTCAGCGGGGAGCCTGCTTCTCCCTCTCCCTGCCACTCCCCCTGCTTGTGCTCTCTCTCTCTGTCAAATGAGTAAGTGAAATCTTTAAAAAAAAAAAGAAAAGAAAAATAAGTAAAATATAGAGGTATATTATAGGTTTATAAATGGGGTGGAGAAGGGTGCCCAGGTGGCTCAGTTAGTTAAGTGTCCGACTCTTGGTTTTTGCTCATGTCATGATCCCAGGGTTGTGAGATGGAGCCTTGTGTCAGGAGTCTGCTTAAGATTCTCTCTCTCTCTCTCTTCCCCTGGCCCCCCCCCCCGCTCACATTCTCTCTCTCAAATCAATCAATCAATCTTTGGTTTTTTAAAAGATTTTATTTATTTATTTGAGAGAGAGAGAGCAAGCACAAGCAGGTGGGGGGAGCAGCGGGGAAGAGGCAGACTCCCTGCTGAGCAGGGAGCCAGTGGGAGCCCAACTTGGGGCTCGATCCCAGGACCCTGAGATCATGACCTGAGCCAAAGGCAGACACTTAGCCAACTAAGCCACCCAGCTGCCCCAATACATCTTAAAAAAATAAATAAATAAATGGGGTGGAGAAAAACAAGGAAGGGATGGGCAATGCAGGGGGCAGGGTTGACAATTTAAAATCTATTGGTCAGAGAGAGTGGTACTTGAAAGCAAAGGCCTGACAAAAGAGGTAGCCAAGCACTACCTCGGGTAGAGCATCTCAGTCAGGCATGGGAAACATTCAGCGCGATTATTCTAAGGTGTATTGAAGGAAAGCGAGGAGGCCAGTCACCGGCTGCTGTGATGAAAATAGATTGAAGAAGGTAAGGGTGGAAACAGGGAGACCAGTTAAGGATGCATTTGCTGTAATACAGATGAGAGCTAATGGTGACTTGGGCCACCATGGTCTGATTCTGGATGCATTTTGAAAGCAGAGATGACAGAATTTGTTGAGAGACCATATATGGGCTATAGGAGAATGACTCATGTATGCCTCTAACATTCTGGGCTTGGGAAACCAGAATTATTGGTACAGCACAGGAATTAAGATACTAGACTCTATTTTTTTAAAGATTTTATTTATTTATTTGACAGAGAGGGAGACAGCGAGAGAGGGAACACAAGCAGGGGGAGTGGGAGAGGGAGAGGCAGGCTTCCCGCAGAGCAGGGAGCCGGACGTGGGGCTCGATCCCAGGACCCCGGGATCATGACCTGAGCCGAAGGCAGATGCTTAACGACTGAGCCACCCAGGTGTCCCAAGATACTAGACTCTTTAGCCAGACAACAAGGGCTGGAAACTTCTCTCTGCAACATACTAGCTGTGCACCTTGGACAAGTTACTTAATCTTTCTGTGCCTCAGTGTTCTTATCTATAAAATGGGGCTGATAGTATCTACCTCATAGAGTTGTTGGAAGGACTGAGTTACATATAAATGAGTTATATGCACAGCACCTGACACACAGTAAAAGATTGTGACAGTGTTTTGTTTTGTTTTACTGAGGTAGACCGTGAAAAGAACAAGTGGGAGGGAAAACCAAGTGTCTGACTTGGGAACATTTTACTGGGATCTTCTGATTGGCTCACTTGCCCCCCCCCCTTCTATATTCTCTAGCACTTCCAATAAGTATGCATATTTAGGTCCCTGTCTTGAGTCCCTGTTTGTTTGCAATAGCTAACATGGTTTCAGTTTCCTTTCCTGAATCCTGACCGATATGGAAGTGATAAATTTTAGGTGTCTATTAGACTTAACAAGTAAAAATGTTGAGAAGGTAACCAAATACAGGCATCCTGAGTTCAGGGCAGAAGAAGGGATGGCAATTTAATTTGGAAGTAACATGTAACTGGTGTTTAAAGCTGTGAAACAATGAAATGGCCAAGGGAGCGAGTATAGATAAAGAGCAGCTTTAGGGAGAGAACCCTTCGGTTTTCTACAATTTAGAGGTAATGCTCCGGAAGCCAAGTGGATAATGAAGTGCTTCGCTACCCAGGAAGCTGCAGCTGCTAGGGAAGGTCAGGTAAGACTGAGAATTGACTCTTGAATTTAGCTTCGTGGGAATCATTGGTGCGTGGAACCGAAGGACTTTGAGGGAATGGATGTGGGATGGGGCTTGGGGCCAAACTTTGATTGATTAGAAATAGTGACAGCAATCTAGGGCACCTGGGTGGCTCAGTTGGTTAAGCGACTGCCTTCAGCTCAGGTCATGTTCCTGGAGTCCCGGGATCGAGTCCCACATCGGGCTCCCTGCTCGGCAGGGAGTCTGCTTCTCCCTCTGACCCTCCCCCCTCTCATGTGCTCTCTCTCCAGTCTCTCTCAAATAAATAAATAAATAAATAAAATCTTAAAAAAAAAAAAAAAGAAATAGTGACAGCAATCTAGAAGCTAAAAGTCTTAAAAGAATAAGGAAGATTAACCTGGGGTCAGTGGATGACCCTGCAAATGATGGGTAATGGGTTGTACAGACTGGGAGCACAAGGTTCAAAGCTGGAAGGTTCGGGGCAGAAGGAGGAAGAATGGGATGCATGCAGCAGTGGGAAGGAGGGAGAAGATCTATCCTACCTCCAGGCCCAGGGGTATGTATTTGTGATGGACAAATCAGACACTACTCGAGAGGGCTGTGGGGAAACTGGAGCCCTCGACGGGATTTCAGATTTCTTTGGGACAAAAGATAAAGGAGAGCATTCAGTGAGTATTGGTGATAATGCTATAGAAATAAACAAGTAGAAATAGATCCTTAATATATATGAGTTTTCTGTTAAATGTAGTATTTTGACTTAGATATTTATGGATTATCAAATGGTGGTGGTATAATTAGCTCTTCATCTGGAAGAAAATACAAATGTACCCCTAGCTTATACCGAATACAAAAGTAAGTTCCAGATGGACTGGGTCTTAACTGTTAAAGATTAAGACAATACAAACTCTGCAAGAATATTTAAGAGACTACAGGGATAGGACTCTTGATCTGGGGATTGTGTAGGGATGAGAAAAATCTTAAATAAGATTATACACTCAGAAGCTGTGACAGAAAAAAATGTACATATTTGTTATATAAATTTTATAAATGTCACTGAAAATTAGAGTTAAAGTGAATAAACAATAGACTTGCAAAACAGAGGATGGCCACACAGAGTTCAGAAAGAGACGTTATATCTGTAATATAGAATGAGTTCTTCCAAATTAAAAAAGATAAGGAATCCAGCAGAAAAGGTTATAAGGAAATGAAAAGGCCATTTATAAAAGAGGAAATCCAAATTGCCAAAAATGGGTTAAACAATGTGCAAAGTAATCAGGAAAATGCAAATAAAATAACAATGAATATCACTTTTACTATCAGACTGGCAAAAATTTAAATACTAATGTCTGTTGATTGTGGGCTGCAAAGATAAGAGTGTTCTCTGACATTGCTTTTAAACTGGGGATTATTATAGTCTTCTGGGAAAGAAATTTTGTATCTATAAACATTAAAATAATTATGTACCCTTTGACTCCTCAACACCACTCCCAGTGATTCTGCTTCACAGACAGAGAAGCCCCTGTTTATAAGAATGTATATATGTGTGTGTTTAGGAAACAAAATAAATCCCTAGCAATAAGGAAATCTTTAACGAAATTATGGATCCATCCACACTGTGGATTTATTAAAAACTGTCAAAAACAATGAATGACAGCTGTATTGAGTGGCGATTGGGAGAGATTCTGTAGTGTATTTTTAAGTGAAAAAAAGGCAAGGTGTGTATTATCAATTTTTATAAGATGGTGATAAAAGCTACCTCTCTGTATGATTATGCGGAATCACTTTGTATATATGTGGACTTGGAGACAAATATAGGATAGTATGTGCTAGGTTGTCAATATGGGTTACTTAGGGTGGTAGAGACAAGAGATGGTAGATGGACAAGAGGAGATAGAGCCAAGCAAAACAGTAAAGGAAAATCGATGCCCCAAATGAAAACCGTGAAATGCAGGAGAAGGAAGTTCATTTCAAATGAGACATATATTTCACGATATACCATTTACAAAGGCATCCTAGGTATAAATTGTGTTATATACATTAATGGCCCATGTGATTTTTTTTAAGTAGTCTCTACACCCAGTGTGGAGCCCAACGTAAGGCTCGAACTCATGACGGTGAGATCAAGACCTGAGCCAAGATCAAGAGTTGGACACTTAACTGACTGAGCCATCCAGGCCCCCCCCATGTGATTTTTTTTTTTTTAATAACCAAAAGATATTCTCTCTTTGAGGAGAGAAGAATCTTCGTAATGTATTTTCCTCATCACAGGTGGCAGTACTCTTTCCCTCTCTCCACTCAATGGCCATATATTTTTAAAAAGATTCTATTTTTAAGTAATCTTTACACCCAGTGTGGGGCTCGAACTCACAATCCCAAGATCAAGAGTCCTGTGCTCTACCAACTGAGCCAGCTAGGCGCCCCTCAACGGTCATATTTTTCACTGAAGGCTATTTGAGAATCGTATCTTAAATTATTTAACAGGAAAAGAGAATTGTCAAACAGAGAGACATTTGTGGATTGCCCCACCTAATAGCATATTTATACACTACTTGGCATTGCTGATGACAGATGCCATGTTTGAACTTTTCAGTCTCGGATGTGAATCATATTTTTCCTCTCTTGAATTATATAGAAAAATTATATTGTTGCAGGGATCAATCCTGATTATTTTGCTTTCAAAGACATTAGAATGTGTTTTCCTCTGGGTCTTATTTCTAATATGCATATATTTTAGCATTCCTTATCAAGAAGTCTCAAGTATTATTCATCTGTTGTAACTGTTTTCATATTTCCTGTAGCTTACAGTGTAATCACTGAAACTCCTTTTGCTAATTTAATAACCACATTGCTAGCTTACAAGTCCACTCCTCTCCAGGAAATACACACATATATACAATTTTATACTGCTTTTATACTTGAGTTTCATTCCAAAATCTACTGTGCTTCTATTTTGTAAAATGTCTAGTTTGCCTCATTCATCAATCTGATAACATATTTCAAATAATCCTGGACCTTTGGGCTGTTCATAAGATCTGTTTTTCCCAACTCAGAGTCTTGTTTTGGTGGTGTTTTTGCCTTTTATAATTTCCTTTGCAGCCAAGCCAAATTGCATTATTTTTTGTTAATTTTACTGAGGTAAAATTTATACACTTAGGTAACCACCACCACAATCTAGACATAGAAGAGCACCATCAACCCAAAAAGTTCCTTGATTCTCCTTTGCGAGGTAATACAATTCTCTCACTTCCAGCCCTAGGCAGCCACTTATCTGTTTCTCTCACTATGGTTTAGACTTGATTAAGAATTTCATAGAAATGGAATCATATAGTAGGTACTTTGTTTTTGGCTTATTTCACTCATCCAGATTCTTCGTAGAGTCAGCCATGTTGTTGCAGTTATCGGTGGTTCCTTTTTAAAAATTTTTGTGTAGGATTCCATTGTACGGATGCACCACAACTGATTTATTTACCTGTTGGTGGACATTTGGTTTGTTTCTGCTTTTTGGCTATTGATAAAACTGCTGTGAACATTCGTGAACGAGTCTTTGGACATATGTTTTTATTTCTCTTAGGCAAATAGCTGGGAGTGAAATCACTAGGCTATATGGCAAGTGCATATTTAACTTCCTATGGAATTGCCAAACTGTTTTCTATTCCCACAATGTATGAGTTCCAGTTGCTCCACATTCTCACTAACACTTGTAATTATCAGTCTTTTCAAATTTTAGCCATTCTAGTAAGTGTGAAGAAATATCTCATGTTGGCTTTAACTTGGATTTCCCTCATGACTAGTGATGTTGAGCATCTTTTTATATACTTATTGATCATTCATATATCTTCTTTTTTGAGGTGCACATTTAAATAGTTTGCCCATTTTATTGGGTTGTTGGTTGTTTTTCTTCTTGAGTTATAGAGGTTCTTTATGTATCGTGAATATGTATTTTTTGTCAGATGTATGTATCGTGGCTATTTTCTCTGAGTATGTGGTTTGCCTTTTCACTTTCTTAACAGTGTCTTTCCAATACCAGAAGATTTTTCATATTGATGAATTCCAATCTGTGCACTTTTTTCCTTTGGTTTGTGCTTTTTGTATACTATCTAAGGAATATGCCTAGCCAAGGGTATGAAGATTTTCTTCTAAGAATTCCTCAAGGAATTTTTGTTTGAGCTTTTACTTTTAGATCTCTCATCTGTTTCAATTAATTGTGTATATTGTGAGATAAGGGTCAAAGTTAATTTTTTTCTAAGCCAATAGTCAATTGTTTCAGGACGATTCATTGGAAAGACTATTTTTCCTCATTGAGTTACCTTGGCACCTTTGTCGAAAATCAATATGTCGTTGCACCTGGGTGGCTCAGTCATTCAACGTCTGCCTTCAGCTCAGGTCATGATCCCAGGGCCTGTGATCGAGCTCCGCATCGGGCTCCCTCCTCTGCAGGAAGCCTGCTTCTCCCTCTCCCACTCCCCCTGCTTGTGTTCCCTCTCTTGCTGTGTCTCTCTCTGTCAAATAAATAAATAAAATCTTTAAAAAAAAAGAAAATCAATATGTATGGACTTATCTCTGGAATCCCTAGTCTCTTCCATCGGTTTACATGTCACTCCTTTACAGCAATATAATGCTATCTTGATTACTGTAACTTTATAGTAAATTTTGAAATCAGGTAGTATAAGTCCTCTAAATTGGTCGCTTTTCAAAATTATTTTGGCTCTTCTGGTCCTTTGTGTTTCGGTACAAATTTCAGAATTGGCTTATCAAATTATGCAAAACATTTCATGTGTTTAGATTGAGATAGTGTTGAATTCAGAGACCAATTTGGGCCAGTTTTCATCTTAAAAGTTGAGCCATCTGGTCCATGAACATGGCATATCTCCACACTTGTTTAAGTCTTTAAAATTTGTCTCATCAATGTTTTGTAGTTTTCAGGGTACCAGTACTACATATATTTTATTCATTATAAGTATTACTTCATAATTTCATTTTCTGGTTGTCCATTTTTTTTTGTATACAGAAATACAATTTATTTTTTGTATTGACCTTATATCTGGAAAACTTTTCTATTTCCTTATTCTTTCTGGTAGCTTTTTGGAGGTTTCTTATAATTTTCTATTTTTAGATCAGTAGTGTCATCGTATCACATCAAAAGGAGAGTAATGTCATCAGGGAATAAATCCAGCTTTTCTCCATCCTTTCCAATCTCTCTGCCTTGTATTTATTTTTCTTCCTTTGTTTCACTGAATAGAGCCTCTAGTACAATGTTGAAATTTTTCTGGAGGACTCTTTCTGTTTGTTTTTTGGTGGTGTTGCTTAATTTGGTCCTATTGAATCATATAGTTACTTAGCTATGAAGCCCTTCCTGCTTTAGATAAGCTCTCAGCTAGTAAATTGATGCTCAACCACACTAATAATCAGAAATATATAAATTAAAATAACGATGAGATATTGTTTTATATCTATGAGATTTTCAAAATTTAGAGAGCCAGATAAATGTCACATATTGGTGAGGATATGGGAAAAGGGAAGTCTCATAAACTGTTGGTGAGAATGTAATCTTGTACAGCCATTCTGGAGAGAAATCTGGCTCTCATTAGTGGAAATTAACAATATTTGCACCTATTTATGTATACATCATCTTCTGAGTATTTGCCTCAGAGGAACTCCCATACACATTCAATTCTAAACTTCTGGATGATAGAGGGAATTGTAGGCTAGATGTCCAGGCCTAGGGGAATGAGTAAACATAATGTAGCAGGTGCACACCATGAAATGATCTGCAGATATTAGAAGCACAAAGTAGATTCATATATGGAGACATCGATAAATTGGTAAAAGGTATCACTGACTAAAATAAAAAGAAACAAAATGAGTTCTATAGCATCAATTTATGTAACTTAAAGCCATAGATAGACACACAACCATAGTATAAATTTTATAAGCACACATATTATAATTGAGAGAAAAGGCAATAGGTATTAAGAATGATAATAGGAAAAACACAAATTTAATAAAATAACACAGGGGCCTTGAACTTACCATAATGTTGAAACTATTTAGTGAGCTGAGGAATATGATGAACTCAAGTCTTTAGTCCTGAGTTTAATATAATATAATAAAGCATTTAAATTCTCATGCAGTGTTAAATGAGAGTAGCTTTGTACACACGCCTAGAGAAAGTACCATAAGGAAAAAGCGTAGGCATATGAACCGTGGTTGTCACAACAGGAGTGTGGCCGGTAAAAAGAAGAGTGCTTTTCAGGTTTGATTTGTGCCTTTGAACCTTTCTCAGTTTCCAAATCCTTCACAATTAGAATGTATAACCTTCACAAGAAAAAGGATAACTGTTATTTTCCTACAACCATATTAATAAAGAAAACTATACCTAACAACATTTCTGCAAATTAGCATGATCACCAGTAGTCCTTTGAAATGAGTAAAGCCCTGTTTCAGGGCGCAGAACCCCCATAATCCACAGAAGCATAGTTTGAGAGAATACCTGTCCTCCAGCTGGTCAAGACATCACTTTGCCATGGATACCGTAGTTTCTTTGCTCCCTGAAGAAAGCATTGCTTAAATGCTGGTCTTTTGTGCTTTGAGAATGGTAATTGGTCTGATGGGCATGGGCTCTTTTCTCCCACCGACCGAGACTGTCACTGTAATACTTAGAAAGAGCACAAGTTAAAGTAATATGTTTCTAAAGCTGGAGTAAAACTAAATTAATAAGGTCTTAAACCATTAAGAAGTAATTAGAAATATAAAAGCTCTATGAGCAAAAACAAAAAACCAACTAATGGAGAGCGGCGAGCAGGAGGAAATGATTCTAGTGTTATAACAGAAGCAGGAGTAGCCTTCAAACTGGCAGAATGATAAGATGTTAAGGTACCAGAAAATATTGTGAAATGCTAATGGAAACTATGACATGGGAGTGATCAGAAAATATGGTTTTAATTCAATAAAAGAAGTCGCTGAGGGAAGGACTGAACGAGAACAGCTAGACATTTCAGGGTCAGGACATCTCTTCACTTTCCCACCTTTCCCAGAGCTTATTTGTAGAGCTGATGTGGAAGTTCCTGGTGTTTACTGAGGGAGCGGGAGGTCTCTACATTTCTGTAAGATGCTGTACAGTGAGTGATGAATAATTAAATTAATACGTATTATTTTTAAACTCAGGTTTTTAAAAATTAAAATGACTGTCTTGTAAGTCTATAAACGTCTTTATATTTTACTGCTTTTGAACTCAGTGTGTTTTCACATTGGTGTCCAACGTGAATTGTATGCCCATCAGTTCTAAACAAAACATTTCCTGTGAAGTGGAAAAGCCCCACTTGCACAATTTTGGAACTCTTTAATTCATTTGCAAATCAGGTCATTCCCTACTTAGTTGTGCTGTCGAATATTCTTTTTCAAAATGTGGTTTTCTGG